AAAAAAAAAAAAAAAGAATAAAAAATAAAAAAATATCTAAGTGCGTTCTTTACATTAGATATATTATTCTTTATTTATTTCTCAATTTAAATAAATTCTAATATATATGTATATTTAATTTTATATAATTTTTTGTTGCTCAAATAATAAAAATATGTTTATGTACGTTATAGCAAATTATATTTTTACCGAGTACCGAATCGGATGATTCATTCTCGTCGAGGAAGGTTAGCCGGTATATCTTGTGTGTGTAGTGTTGATATCCGAGTTGAACCAGCATAGAATTCATGGTTCGAGTACAAAGACTCTGGCGAAGACGACCTAAGAATCGGGACCGAGAAGGGTCCTACCAAGGGGCCGAGCTGATCGGAAAATAAAGTTTGATAAGAATGGTGAGCATAATGGTTTTCGAGGACGGCACCCATCCGGATCGAAGCCGGCGTCGAACTCTTGGAGTGCTGGATTGAAGAACAGCGTCTGGAGGCTAGAAGGTGAAGTGATGATGAAAGTCCGACCTGAAGATTTTACAAGGCCAGCTTCCGTATGGAGGCGAGATCTCGAAATGATATAATATTGCCACATGTCGGCTAATTTTTGCTGATGGGACGCGTCACTCTATTCTACCACCCTAGGGCATCTAGCCTGACAGGAACGCCATTAAATGCCCCATATGTGTACATTTAATGTCTGACAGATAATCATTGGAGAAACCTCAAATCACATTTAATGCACGTCAGAGCGGCGTCGACCTGTCGGCTCTAAGTTATTGTGTGAAGTGACAGGGTGAACAGCGTCTGAACAGTGCCAGATTAGAAATACTATGAATAGGCAACTCATTTCTTTTTCTACAAAAGAAAAAAAAAAACTGGTGGAGCTGACAACAAGTTTAACGAAATAAAAATATAAAGCTGAATCTCTGTTCAAGATTGTTAACCTTCTTTTTAAATCCAACAACAAAGTTATCAGAATTCCAGTCCATTGCGAGAAAGACGAAAGATCTATAAAGATTTGTTGTATAACAGAAATTCTATGGAACATCTGATGTTTTTTTTTATGGAGCCATCCATCACTTAATGTATTAACACCTGTTCAAAGTGTATTTATTATAAGACATCTGTCAATACTCTATTTGTAAATAAGTATTGATGACGCCATAAATCGTGTCATCCGATGACTCAATAGTAAAATTGTGTTGTATAAACAACAATTTTAATATGAATCTATAAATTCCTTTCCGATTCTTAAAATAATTATCAAAAACCAACATTTTGTTGTAAAATAGAACTCTTAATCTTCAACAAGCATCCATCAATCAACCAAACATAAAGATGTGCAGTAAAAAGAATAAGAAAAGAGGAGCAAAAAAGTCTGTAATCTTATTCATGTCGTATATCACCCTTTTATAGGATTTACAAGAGAGAAGCCCTAAATTCTAACTTTCCTCACTAATGGACTTCAGGCCCAATTCTATATTAGTAATGTCCATATTAATATATTTATAACACTCCCCCTTGGACATTACTACATGCCTCATTAAAAACCTTGCTAATAAAAACCCAAAGGGAAAAAAAATTAGTCAGGGGAAAAAAAGTACATGGTTTATAAAAATTCATGTGTTTTATTAGCTGCCTCGTTAAAAACCTTTAATTAATAAACCCATTGGGAAAAACTTAGTTAAAGGAAAAAAAGTACAGCATTTGGTCTTCATGACCTAATCTTCGGGATTATTTTTAGTTTTTCCCTCCCCCTGAAGACAATAGTCTTTCCAATTTACGCATACCAATACCATAAATGTATTTTTCAAAAGTAGATGTTGGAAGGGATTTGGTGAATAGTATGCCAAGTTCTCGCTAGACCTTACCTTTTGTACAATAATCTCACCGCTCTTTTGGAGCTCGTGTGGGTAAAAGAATTTTGGAGCAATGTGTTTTGTCATGCTTCCTTTGACATACCCACTACTCATTTGTAAAACACAAGCTGCATTGTCCTCATAAAGGACAGTGGGGGTTATATCATTTGTAATTCTACATGATCCACGAATATGTTGGATTAAAGATCTTAACCATACACATTCGCGTGAAGTCTCGTATAAAGCAATTATTTCTGAATGGTTTGAAGATGTAGTAACCATGGACTGCCTGACCGACTTCCAAGAGATTGCAGTACCACCACAAAGAAAAACATAACCAGTCTGTGATCTAGCATTATGGGGATCAGACATATAACCAACATCCGAATAGCCCACCAATGTCATATTTTGATTTTTCTTATAAAGTAAACCAAGATCTTGTGAACCTTGAAGATACCAAAAAATATGTTTAATACCATTCCAGTGTCTCCTCGTAGGAGAAGTACTAAACCTTGCTAGATAAAGTAACGCGCCAATGGCGCTCAAGTAAGGAACTTCTGGTCCTAAATTTTCTTCGGTATCTTCTTTAGGTCTAAATGGGTCCTTATCCGCTTCAAGGGATCGGACAACCATTGGTGTGCTAAGTGGATGAGATTTATCCATGTAGAATTTTTCTAAAACCTTCTTCAAGTAGGTTGACTGGTGTACAAATATTCCTTCAGGGAGATGCTCGATCTGCAGACCGAGACAATATTTGGTTTTACCCAAATCTTTCATTTCAAACTCCATCTTTAGGCATGAGCTAGCTTTATCAAGCTCCTCTCGTGTGCCAATTATATTTATGTCATCGACATAAACTGAAATGATGCAAAAGCCATTCGTTGACCTCTTTATAAACACACATGGGCACACATCGTTATTCACATAATTATTTTTCAACAAAAACTCACTCAGCCGGTTGTACCACATTCTACCCGACTGCTTTAAGCCATATAATGACTTTTGTAATTTAATGCTATATATGTTGCGCGTTTCATTTTCCCTTATTTTGGGAACCTTTAATCCTTCACGGATTTTCATATATATATATATTTGTGTCTAATGACCCATATAAATATGTGGTCACGACATCCATTAACTGCATATCTAAATTCATGGTTACTGCTAGAGATATCAAATAGCGGAACGTTATTCCATTCTTTACAGGAGAATATGTTTGATCAAAATCAATTCCAAGTCTCTGCGAAAACCCTTGAGCAACTAATCTCGCTTTCTATCTCACCACATCATTATTTTCATTTCTCTTTCGCACGAACACCCATTTATATCCTACTGGGATAACATTTTGAGGTGTACACACAATAGAGCCAAAAACTTTTCATTTATTTAGAGAGTCTAGTTCAGCCTCAATTGCCTCTTTCCATCTTACCCAATCGGAGCGCTTCCGACACTCTACAATTGATTTTGGTTCTGGATCCAGATTATTGGAGATGGTAAAAGCAACTATAGAGGCAAATGTGTCGTCGACGACTATGTTACTTCTATTATAAGTTTCTCCTGTATCAACAAAATTCGTAGCTACTTCAACATTTACATCAACCAGATCTTCATCATTTCCCAATATATTTTGATCTGGATGTTCTGCAATCCTAGTATTTTTATTATTTGTTGCACGTGCATTTAAACTAGGATTTTCGCCTTCTGGACGATTCTCTTCTGGAGATTTCGGGAGTGATTCAATATTCTTAATAGATTTCGTTTTCCGCGGATTGTTGTCTTTTGCACCAACGGGTATACCACGCTTCTGGCGTGGAGCATCTGCAGGATTATTAGATTTTATGGGGACTTCCACACGTTGTGGAGCATTTATTGAAGGTACATGAGATTTGGTCACTCCTTTATGATCAGTAAATGCATCTGGCAGATTATTTGCTAAATATTGCAAATTAATTATCTTTTGACCTTCAAGTTCAGTTTGATTAGTGCGTGGATCTAAATATTGTAGATTTTCTACATTCCAAGAAATTTCTCGGCATTTATTTAAGTTTGGGCTTTTATCTCCCCCTAATGCCGGAAAATTCTCTTCATCGAATATGCAGTCAGCGTACCTAGCTGTAAATTGATCCCCAGTCATGGGCTCTAGGTATTTTAGAATAGACGGGGATTCATAGCCAATATATATACCTAGCTTTCTATGAGGGCCCATAGAGGTACGCTGTGGTGATGATATGGGAACATAGACTGCACAACCAAATACTCGCAGATGGGAAATGTTAGGTTCTTTACCACGCACTAGTTGTAAAGGAGAGTAATTATGATATGCAGTTGGTCGGATTTGAATTAGGACAACAACATGTAAAATTGCATGTCCCCAACATGAAATTGGTAAATTAGAATTTTGTAACAATGGTCTAGCAATTAATTTGATGCGCTTAATGAGTTATTCAGCTAGACCATTTTGTGCGTAGACATAAGGTACCGGATGCTCCACTTTGATGCCCAGTGACATACAGTAATCATCAAAAGCTTTCGATGTAAATTCACCGGCATTATTCGTTCTAATAGTTTTAATTTGATAATCAAGAAATTGAGCTCTTAATTCAATAATTTTAGCAAGGAGCTTTGGAAAAGCCTGATTTCTAGTGGATAATAAACACACATATGTCCATCGAGTGGAAGCATCTATCAATACCATAAAATATCGGAAAGGTCCCGAAGTGGGATGGATAGGGCCACATATATCACATTGAATCCTATGAAGGAATGTAGGAGATTCAATTCCAACTTTAGTACGTGAAGGTCTCAATATTAATTTTCCCTTTGCACAAGCATCACAAATAAATTCATTAAAAGAAGGGAGATTGTTGCTTGATACGCTATGCCCAATACAGTTAGAAATAATCCGACGCATCATACTAAGCCAAGGATGACCCAATCGCTCATGCCATAATTTAAATGAATTTGGGTATTTAAATTTTAAGCTCAATGCAACGTGATTAATAGAAGGTCGAATGTAAGTATGGTACAAGCCTGAGGAGAAAGAAGGAAGTTCTTCTACAATTTTCTTTTGACTTCCTTGTGAATGAGTCATTAGAAGATACTCTATATTGTTTTCAGTCTTAGTTTCAATATGAAAACCATTAGATCGAATATCTTTAAAACTAAGGAGTGTTCTTTGTGATTCAGGGCACAAAAGTGCATTGTTAATTATTAATTCGGTACCCTTAGGAAGAGTAAGTAAAGCTCTGCCGGAGCCTACTATCAATATTTTATCATTAGCAATTGTAGAAACACTCCCCTTCTTTTCATTCAAAGTTTGGAAAAATTGCCTATCTTTCAAAATAGTGTGCGTAGTAGCACTGTCGACCAGACTTAAAATGCCCTTTTTCTCCATAAGATGCAAACTAATGAATGGTTGTGGTACACTAAAAGAAAAGTAAAACATTGTAAGCAAACAAAGCAATCATGAAGTCCCAATCAAAACATAACGTCTGAAAACATACCAATAGCAAAAACAAACCACAAATATCTTGCGAAGCAAAAGAAAACAGAAATGTCTAATAGCAAGAAACACAC